AGTTGAGTTCATCCGAGAGTGTTTACCTCATCCAAGGTAGTTCACCTTGGAATGGGTTGTCATGAGGATGAGTTCAAGTAGTTGAGTTCATCCGAAAGTGTTTACCTCATCCAAGGTATTTCACCTCGGAATGGGTTGTGAGGATGAGCTCAACCAAGTTTTATGAACTTGTTTAAGTTCCTAAGTCAGCACATGAAGTTCCTGTTGTTAAAGTCCAAGGCTAACCATATTATATGATAAGGGTACAGATATATACACTTATATATCTTAAGCTCAGTATCACAGTTAATAGTTGTAATTAAAGTAAATTATGAAGCTGCACTTTTTAATCATAGGTTCCTATTAGAAGTCATAATGATGATGACTCTTCTCCCCCCTAAACCTGCACATTTGGGGCTGGTAAACATAAACGTTATAATCATAAATTACATTAGTTGCATTTTATGCTTTAACATGTCCAATAAACAAGCAATCATGCATGTTGTAATAATAAGTCTTTCTAGCTTGTAAATATAAGAACAAAAATTGGACATGCAAAATAACTCATAAAAATCTTAAATGTGCAAAGTAATTTTGAAAATTTTAATATGTAACACTTACTTGACTTGCAGAGCAGAATTAATTTATACTTGAGAAAGAATTGTGCTTGATGAGATAGAAACTCGAGAAAGAATTTAGCTTCTTACGAATGATGTTAAATCCTTCTTGCTGTGACTCAAGAGCAAATGTGGAGAGAAAAAATTTAGCCTCTCATAAATGATGCTAGAGAAGAAATTTACTTGATCATCTTTGTAAGCTATTGAGCTTTATGGTTGGGGCCCGTAGCCTTTTAAAATTAGATGGAGGAGTTGTTCATAGCTCGTATATAATTTTGATGGAGGAGCTTAGCATAAAGGGATTTCTCTAGAACCCACCCCACATGGAGTCCCTGCACTTTTCCATCTCTAAAATAGCAATGGATATTTGTAATCATAAGTGTAAATGAGCAAAATAGCATGATTATGATATATAAAAAATGAGATGGCAAAATGATATCATGAGTGCAAAAACAAGTGCAGAATGAATGGAAAAATGTGAAATGAATGCAAAGAATGCGGAAAGCAATTAATAATAAATTTTAATATAAGATTGGACCAAGCTTGGATCAAAGCTCTAATTTGTTGCGGAGCTTAATTGCTTTTTTGACAACCTGTATCACAAGGACTTGAAAAAAGGAGAAATCAATGGCATTCAGTTTTATAATCAAGAAAGTATATTATATAAAATAAATAAAAGAAAAAGATTACTAGTTCATCTTTTTTAATTTTCAAAACAATACATGGTTAATGAACTAAATTTATATATATATTAATGTAAAATATATGCCTTGATATTATTGACATTTGGATGAATTTTATGAAAATTTACTTAATTTTGCATAATTTTCATCTTGTGCTGGAGAGGACTTAATTGGAAAAAGTCACAATCCTTAGGAGTAAATTGAAAAGATATGAAATTTGAGGATTAAATTGTGCAGAATCCCAAAGTAAGGGGTCGAGATTGTAATTTTACCGTCAACAGAATTTGCAGAGAAGGACAAAAACCCGACATGGACTCTTCAGTACAAATGCAGGAAAATTGTTGGCACCTTGTTGAGGGTGTTGACACCTTGCAGCTCATGCTACATATCTTTCAGCTCATGCTCGACCTCTGCACCTCGTGTTCAACTTCTACACTTCATGCTCAGCCTCTGCAGCTCATGGCTGACCTCGGTAGTGAGTGTTTGAGCTCTACAGCTTGTGCTCAAGTTCTACACTTCGTGCTCGACCTCAGCAGCAAGTGTTTGAGCTCTACAGCTCGTGGTTGACCTCGGCAGCTCATGTTTGAGCTCTGTACTTCGTGCTCGACCCCTGCGCTTTGTGCTCGACCTTTGCAGCTCATGGTTGACCTCGGCAGCTCGTGTTTGTGCTCTGCAGCTTCATGCTTGACCTCTGCAGCTCGTGGTTGAGCTCGGAAGCTCGTGTTGGACCTTTGCACTTCCTGTTTGACCTCTGCAGCTCGTGTTGGAGCTCTGCACTTCATGCTTGGCCTCTGCAGCTTGTGTTTGAGCTCAGCAGCTCATGTTGGAGCTCTACACTTCATGCTTGACCTCTGCAGCTCGTAGTTGAGCTCGAAAGCAAGTGTTTGAGCTCTGCAACTCGTGCTCAAGTTCTGCACTTTGTACTGGACCTCTACAGCTCGTGGCTGACCTCGACAGCAAGTGTTTGAGTTCTGCAATTCGTGGTTGACCTCAGCAGCTCGTATTTGACCTCTGCAGCTGGTGCTCGTGTTCTGCACCTCGTGGTTGACTTTGGCAAACTCTTTTTTGTCTTGCACGTATCTCAATCTTCCTGGTCAAATTTCTTCCACGTCTCAACTTCCTCCAAATATTGGGAATTGGGTGTTTGATTTGATCAAGGAAATGTGAAATGTGTATCGAGGTGAGGGGAGACAGAACAGAAGATGGATTTGGAGAAATCTATTTTTGGCAGGAAATGGCAATGTTGTGAACAAGAGCTGCTGCACTTACGGCACTGCCGCAACCGGTGGCTCTGGTGATTTGAACAACTACAATAAAGAGGTTAACAACCCAGATCTCAGAGTCACTTTGTACTCCGATGACGCCAAAGGCCGGGGTCGGGAGTTGTCCACTTACACAAAAAACACCAACACTGGAAACAGCTAGACATTTATCAGTTATCAGCCAGACTTTGTTGAATGCCATCTCCCCCAACTCCATGCCTTTATTCACTACACCCTCCAACCCCATTTCTGTTTCTTTCGTTTTGTATTACCAACTGAATAGATGGGAAGTACATCCATAGTTGAGGAATAGAGGGGCACATGATTGCCATCGCCGAAACAGGAGGAGCTTGGAAGAAAAGGGATATTTTATTTTATTTTTATATATATATATATTTTTTATTTTTTTGGGAACTTTCATGGTCCGTGCTCACCACCTCTTCCTTTTCTTTTCTCTCTTTTTTTTTTTTGTCTTTTTCTTTTTCTTTATTTATTATATATATATACATATTTTTACTACTTTGACTTGCCTTGAATATGTGTTTTATTGACACCTTTTTTCCTTTTTTGAATATTCATGGCTGACATTACACCATACGTACCTTTTATTTTATTAAATAGGCTCTTGATAATTGTGCAAAGCTGAACCTCAATAATTGTGCAAATCTACTCCTCTATTTATCTTCTTGTGAAAGCTTCTTTTTCTTTACAAGTGAATAAACTCATTCTGTAAATTCATCAAATCTACTTTTGCGACTCAAAAGAATCAGCCATGAGCCTTTCACTCATCTTCTCTTCCCTTCGATCAACCAGATCAACATACAAATAAAGCTTTTTATTTGGTTTCTCATAGACGGCGCCAATGTAATTGCACCAAACCAGAGATCCTTCTTCAATCTACGTCTTCACTTCGGATGAACCTACAAAGCCTCGAGGTGGGTCCTCAGGGTAGACACTCCGATGCCTAAGTCAGCAATAATCGAGTCTATCTCTGAACTAATGAAAAAGGAGCTTTATGATGGTTTCCATTACCTTTCTGAGGTGGCCCTTGTGGGGTATTTATAGGCCTTCATGAGGTATACACGTGGCTTGCTTAGTAGGATGATCGGAGTGTAACGTGTCCCTTAAAGAGATAAATTCGAGACCAACGACAAATTCGGGACTGGGGAATTGTGTGATAAATCAGGTTTGGGCATGCCCATTGTATTTACTGTGCAGCTGTTTGACCAGAAGTGCTGGATTTAACTTCACTTCGGCTATTAAGAAATTATAGTAGTACGTTCGAGGTCCTTAACCTCGGACCCATCCTTACAGGTGTCTCAAGCTTTTGCATAATATTATATTTATTCATATTCAATTGACCTAACGGTTTGAATGATTGAACCAATAAAACCAATCAAATTGAGAACTAGAAGTCAAAACAGTTTTATCTATGGTCAATTTTCAAAACACTCTTACAGAGATCATTAAATGGGAGATAGATACAACTCCTAATATTAGATAGTTTTACTCTCTATGTAATGATAATTGCTGTAAAATTTAATATAATTAAGAATATAAATTTTTTTATTAATTTTTAATTTTTAATTAAAAAGAGATTTTACACATATAAAAACATTATTTTTAAAATTTTTTTAATTAAAGATATTATTTTTTTATTAAACTAATTAAAATTATTATTTTTAAAAACTTTTTAATTAAGGATATTACTTTTTCAATTTTATTATTCAAGGATTAATTAGATTCCAATACTTGAATTGACAAATGGATTGCATATCTGGGACCCACTAAATTGTTGATGCGTCGAAAATTTGACAGGTAGCTGCTCTGACTTGGAGCTGATTTGAACAACAAGCATAAGTGTCAACACCAAAAAAGGTAGTGTCCACACCCAACCTGAGGCGGAGGATCCATTTTCTTTTTATTCATTTTAACGAAAAATATATAAAATTAAAGAAAAATCATAAACATGGTAATGAATATATAAATCAGTTAAACACAATAAAGCACATTATAGAGATTTATTAAAACTAATTTATCATTTGAATATATTATATGAAATATTTTTAATAAAAAATTTACTTAATTCACCATATTAAATATTTGACAACTATATTAAAATTTTGACTGCTTTGTGTAAAGCATTATGTTGCTAATAAGGAAAGTTGTCCATGTAGAGAGCTAGATGATTCCCTTTAAAGAGTATGATTATTCTTCTTTTGTCTCTTTTATTTAGACTTTTCAAAATCTTTGCATGACAATAAAATACAAAATTACTTGAATATGATATTATATTTTTACATACTTTTAAATATTGTAATAATAACAATAAAAAAAAAACTCACCTTTTTCTAGTTGTTTTTTGCACTTTCACCTCTTGAGAGTTAGAGAATGCATTTTTCACATTGAAAACAATTCTTGGATGTGAGGGGATATTATTTGATTTCTTTTTCCTCGCATTTGTAGGATTCTATCATTATATATATATATATATATCATTTCATGTGTGCTTTAAGGTAGAAAAATAAATTAGACACATGGTAAAATAATTCTAACATCTAGTATTTGTTTATTGAAGTTAGGATCATTTTTATGAGAGCATCCCCACTTGTTATGGCCATGCAAGCCACACATTGAATAAGTTGGAAAAAAATTATATCATAATGCATAACCAAATATTTTGCAAAGAGATGAAGATTTAATATGTGACTAACACATTACAACTTATGGATAAAAATTGTGCCTCCAATAACAGACAAAAACTCCTATTAAAAATTGTTATTCAAGTTTATGATAGGTGTAACAGCACGGAGGGATTTTGAGATGGATTATAAGGATTAAGCACTATTGTACTTAAACTAATAATATATTTCTATTTAACAAAAAAAAAAAGAATAAAATAAATAATTTTACCTTGATATCATGAAAATAAGAAACAAAAAGATCTTATGTGACAAGTTATTCTTTAAAGTTGTATAATTCTCTCAATCGATTATAAAAAACAAAGAAAGAGTTTGAACTCTTTATAATTTTTTAATGTTTAAAACAGTGTGAAAATAGTATTATTTTGATTGTCAAAAAGCTATTTTAGAGGGATTCTATACGCCATTTCAACCTTTTTAGAATTTGTTTACTAATTTATTTTACTCTAATTTTAATTAATTTTTCCTAAAGCTGATGAAGAATTCCCGACATGGGTTTGATGTCAACACCACATGTTTCAGTGTCGACACTATTTGTTAAGAATTCTAAGGTGAATCTTTATCGTCCACATCAGCTTTAGGTCAGCGCAGCCACCTATCAATTTTTTTACACATCAGCAATTTAGTGGATCCCATAGACGAAATCTGTTTGCCAATTTAGTATTGGCATCTAATTAATCCTTGAATAGTAAAATTGAAAAAGTAATATCCTTAATTAAAAACTTTTGAAAAGTGATAATTTTGATTAATTCGATAAAAAAGTGATACCCTTAATTAAGAAATTTTAAAAAGTGATGTTCTTATATGTATAAAATCTTTAATTAAAAATATAATAATAATTTTTTTTTATGTTCTAAAGCCAACAATTCGAGGAACGGCCAGCTCTGCTCCGACCCAATGGCATAGACCCTGGGTTAGGGCCATTCACCTTCTGTGAGTGTCGTGTTCGAATCCCACGAAACCCATTTCTCCTTTCTCCCAATTAATATATGTAAATAATTGTAATTTGTTCAAAAAAAACCAACAGTTCGAGACCATAAAGAAAGAGAAATAGAAAGGAACAATATAAAACAAATTTAAACTCTTAACAGCTTTGACTATAAAAGCTTTTTATACTAATAGCAAAAACTACATCAACTACCAACCCTCACCATAATTAGATTTTTAAGATTCATTTTTTAACAAGAAATGGAATCATAATTGATACTACCACAAATTCAAGAGTGCAAAGTACAAACATGTTAGCAATTGGTTAAATGTTAAATTTAGTTTATCAACTTTTTATTTTGAGCAAATTCCGTTTCAAAACATTTTTTTGTTTGTATTTTTTTTCATTTTTTAACTTTAAAAAATTCATGTTTTTAATCTATTAATTCTATTTAGATGTGCACTTTTTTAATCATAAACTTATAATATATATATATATATGTTTTTAGTTCTTCAATTTAACACACCCAATATTTGTCATTACAAATAAGCTCTCTTTTCTCCTAGTTTGGATTTGGGTTAAATCTATTTATAGCTCTCCTAATTTAACGACCCTTCAATGCAAGCTTGCTAATTTGGTTCCCTTAAATTTTAGATTTTGTTGTTTTTTTAGATGTGAGTGCGGGGTGAATTGAAGTGGGCAGTAGTCAATTTCCAAGACAGGGAGATCTGGGTAGTTTTCGAGGGAGCTTTTTTTTTTTTTTTTTTTTTTT